CATAAAATGTGTGTCAGTGTAATGTCTGTGTGTATACAAGAAAAGTAGATGCTATCCAGAAGAAATACTTATGGGGAAGAATAAATAGGAATCAAACACAATACTAGGTGAAAACAAGGCTATAAGAGAAGAGAAAGAGACCTTGTGACCGCAAATTTCCAGGGCCAAGAAGAAAGGTTGTAAATCCATTCGGGTGAAAGCACCCCATAAACAGTTGATTACCAAGTGTGCCTGGAAAAGTGCCTTTGCCACAAGTGAGGGGTAAAGAAACCTCACCACTTATATCCCAGCTGAGTTGTCCTTGGGAGAGCCATTTCTGACCAAAATCCACCACGCTGCTCTTCTGCAAATTGCCCTCTCAGGGCCTGGTGGAAGGAATCACCGAGCACTCTTGAGACTTGCTTATATTGCCGCAGCTCAGCCATCATGACATTGCTGGAAGCTACTGAAATTTACCTGTTGGGACTGTTGAAAGGACAAAGGTGTCAATGGATCTGTGTTCTAATCGTGCCACCTGTCAGTACCCGGCACCATGTGGGGAAGCTAGTGATCCTCCTAGCCAACCGAATTCTGAAAGCTCATACTTGAAGACTCCTGGTATTGCCGCTTCCGGTAACCCTAAAAATGTGCAATCCCATGGCTTCCATACCATTGGGGCCTGCACTCTGAGTTTTACAACTCAGCGTTGAGGGTTTATTGACAGCCAAGTGGTATTTAATCAGCACTCTTGCTCATCAACATGCTACTGATGTGATCTGCATACAGGGATATACATTGTTGAGTAGTGCCTGCTAACCACATTCAGTGGTGGGCTCCAAGAGCTCCATTTGGTCCACTAAGAATGCTGTTGCTTGGCTTGATGAATATGCAGTCGCTAAATAAAGGACACCAATCTTTGTGACATTCCTGCTAAGAGAGTCTCTACCTTCATGCTTCCATTTGGAGTTTACGTATTCCAGGGTGTCAGCTGCCCACCCTCTCTCCTTTCAAATTCTCCATCCAAAGACGCTAAATGCTAACCCACATAAACAAAGGGGATTGCCACCCACTGATTGACCAGGAAATTAGAGAAAAAGAATCTCTCTCTTGTCTTTGGGGCATTTGTCTGTAGAGCACTTGGGCACATTGTTGACACATAACAAAATAACTGATGTTGATCTCTAACCAGAGAAAATAACTTGGGGCCATGTGGTCCCCGTTGTGAAGGCCTTGTAATGTGATGAATGCCCTGGAAAGGCAAAAGCTTTAATGAAAGAATAATCCATACGGCCACTTAAATATACCAGGCCCTCTGTACGAAATCTGTGAAAAATAGGGTGCAGTCAGTATTGAGGAGTCTTCAGGGAAGAGGTGCTGTATACAGTATTTTCCCTTAACAAAGGGGGAGAAGTTGCACTGAAATTTGCTGTACAAACAAGTGCTGCATTAATTCCTCCCACTATGCCTGTGTGAACCCCTTTGGAGCTGTCATGTAAGCGGAGGTGCAACAAATACAAAAGGCAAAAGAGCTAGTTCTGATAGTCCGCGGTGGGAGTTCAAAGCCAGCTGTTGTTGTTTGTTGTTATTTTTATTACAGAAGTGTCTAGGCCCCAATTAAGGATCAGAGCCCCATTGTGCTAGGTCCTGTGTGCACATGTAATTCAAAGAGAATCCTTGCCCTAAATAGATTACAATCTTAACATAACATGGGACATTGAGTTAAAAAAACAACACGGGAGGGATGATAAAATCACAGCATGGGGATACCTACCTACTGCCAAAGATTTTCAGATTTTTGAGTACAGTCCACAGGTTACTGATCTGCTGTAAATGTGTTTTTTCAGAGACTTTCACTGCCTGCTTTTGTGAGGGTAGGTTATGGGTGTTCTTAAAGAATCACTAGCAGAGACTCTGCTTAAGAAGTCATCTGTCATTATTTATAATTGTGCCAACCATCAGCCTTATATATTTCAGTTCCTAATTTTAGGCACCCAGTTTTCACAATTTTGACACTAGTTCTTGGCTCAGTTTAAACCAAAACCTTCCTTTTCTTTTAATACCTCTGTTATTTTAACACAATTGATAAAGAATAAAATACAATCTCTCATAAGGATACAGTGCCACTGTCCCTTATTCCTACAGCACATCATGGTCATTGGACTTTCCCCGTGCCTGTGTTGACTCAGGTACAGGCTGCAGTGGCATATCTTATGGGTTGCCTCATCTGAAGGCTGCAGGGTTGGTACAGTTTTCTCCCTGACTGTATCTCATAGAGGACAAAGGGTTTCCTTCTTTTCAAAGATGTACCTCCGTGGCATTATGAAAACAATCTAAGGCTCAAATGCTCTCATTAAAAACAGTGTTTATTAAGAGTAGGCAAAGAAAAGTAGGTTAAAACAAAAGAAACAGTATGTGTAGCCTATCAAGTATTACATTCTGCAAACGGTAATCTGGGTAGGTATCATTCTTGTAGTTATGGAAGAATAAGGATTACCTATAGGGTACTCGATTATTTTTTGTCAAGGTCCACACTACTTGGTCGAGGTCTAGACTCCAGAGAAAATAATACAAAAATAATTACAATAATGGTGGTAATAAGTAAATAAAAAGATTTTGCGGTCCATTTAAAAGTGTCTGGCGGTCCGGATTTGGTCCGCAGTCCACCTATTGACTACCCCTGATTTTGTATCCTTTTCCCACAGCAAGTCAATGACTCCAATTTCAGGTGTCTGTATCATGTCTTCCCCCAACTCAGATGTTTCAAGTCTACTCAGTGATATGTCTAAGATAAAAAGCAAGCTATAAAAATACGTAGCAATGTCTTTTCTGATGTTCTTTAGATATCATGCTGAAGGAAAAAAGGGCATGATACCCTTTTCTTTCTTTTTTTGATTTTAAACATCCATTTTAGGTCACTCATAAACATTATCAATTTAATTTTTTCTTATAATTTCTTCTTTTGTTTCTACTGTACATTAAATATTAAAGTCAAATGATCACAGGCACATCCGAGAGTGTTTAAACACTTTAAAATATGTCTCTTACATCCAATTAGGAGTTACAATGTTGATCATACAAATACTATTATGGGGAGGTTAATCTCTTCATTTATGCAGGTGGCCACCAATATACTTCCATTAGAATAAACTATGCAAGTTCCCCTATGTATTGATGGAAGAATAGGAATCATATTTAGAGTGCAAAAATATAACCTCACGGCCACTACATAAATAGTGCCTTTTTCAAGTGTTTAGTTCAATGCGTTTTTCAAGTGGTTAGTAGCTTCATATGTGTAGATGCACCACTATACTGTCACCTGAAATTGATTTCTTAGAACAGAATTTACTAATGGCTGGATGTTGAAAAGAGTATGTGAACAACAATAGTAATAAAAAGGAAAGATGGAGTTGTTTGATGAGAAATAAATGTTAAACACGAAAATCTTTAATAAATGTTTAAACCAATCTATCATCTGGATTACAGAGAATGGAGACACACTATTAAAGTTATACTGTGCATAAAACTAAATTAAAACAATCAACATTAACCTTGTTTTCCTGAATTAATTGAGAAACAATGATATAAGTGGTTTGTTGAGCAGCACAACAGAAAAAAAATTAATCTGAGCTAAACTAGAGAAGATTTTAGATTTAGTAACATGTTGAGATGAACAATAAGGCCTTTAAAAAACTGACTTTAATTCAGGGTAACAATCTTACAATAATTGAAGACACAAATGAAAGAAGTAGCTGTCAGAGAGGCACAACAGAAAATTACCTGGAAAATTGTTGCTAATTTGGGATTTTGGTTAAATGTGATTTGGTACGAAGGGGTTCAGTGAAGCATGCCCAGGAAATACTAGAAGATTTAAAGGATCAGGGATATCACTGAGTAGTTTGTAATGTCTTTTTGTTTCTGTTGTTTATTTTTAGCTGTTGACTGGATCGTCATCTTAACTTTGAATTACTGTTTGCCCTTCCGAATCTTGACATTACAAACTGACTGGTTTTTGGATGTCATTGTTAATCTGGTTTTAGTTTGATTATTCTGGGACTTTGAATATATTGTTCACCCTATTTTTTAAATCATTTCTCACTGAATCATTTTGGCATTTGTAATCCAAATTCAGCCCTGGGGTAAATGGGCCAATTCGAATAAACTTTTAACAAGAGCTGTTCCCACTTTGGTCAAGTCTGAAGTTGCCTCCCCATTTTTATTTATTTATTTATTTGCTGACCTGTTTGGTATTTGTTTTATTTGTAATGGTTTTGTTAACATTTAATTATGATTGTATATAATTTTCAATTATTTTCAGGATTAAGTAATGACTTGTACTTTGTCAGTTTAAATTATGATGCTTAATTGTATTCATTTCTGGGTCACTCAGAGTATTTCTTGGAGTGGCTAATGAAGTGGTCCTTTCTGACCCACCCTCAAATAGTCTCTGTTGGGAAGCCTTTATGGTACCCAAAGACCAGCCATAAGCTGAAGGGGTGACAGCAAATAACCGATGATGGATGAGAAAAAACTATTGTGATTAATCCTTGATTTTAGCAACTGGTTTAGGTCTGAAGGCTACCTTGATGACCAAAAAACTAGAATTTCTTAAAAAAAAAAAAAAAAAAAAAAAGAAGTAAAGCATTGGCTTTTTTCTACTACCCTGTATTTATCACACCTTCTACATCTTTTCTTTGTGCCATGCCTTTCCCTGTCTCTATACTCTCATCCCTCAGAATAGATACGTTTTTTTAGCCCTATCTGTAAAAGTGACCATCTTAATATATTTGCTTGCTAGTAAAAGGCTTCTTGTACATTATTGTCACTCAGACACAATCAGTATTCTTTCTATTTTTACTTGGCCAAAACCTGGCATAATTTTCTGGTGACTGTTTTGTCTCTGTAGCTGATCCTGGAGGGTATTCTTTTCTTGAGCAGACTTGCCCCTTGGGTGCTGTGCAGTGTGGCTGTTATATTTAACTCTGTATTTAAATTGTCTTCTTTTTTTGTTCTTTTTTGTTTCATTTGACTGGCTCACGGTTCAGTATGTTTCACCCAGCCAACTTAAATTACCGTTTACATTATCCATTTATATAACCTTTGTGTATGAGCAGACTTTTCTTCCTGTGATATTATAGTTGTGATTTTTTTTTATTATCCATATTAATAATAATTTGGATCCCTTTTAGTTTTCTTTGTCCCTGGATTCTTTCAGTTTTACACAACTTGTCAATTCCTCTTATTCATAAGCATTATATTTTTTTCACTTTCTCATCCCAATTTTTTTCTTCTCTCCCATCAGTGTGTGATTTAGTGTTTAGGGACCACTTTTTAGCCTAATTCTTTCTCACCTTATAAAATGCTCCATCACACATCTACTGTATCTCCTATATATCTTGATTTTATTCAGTTGTATGACAAAATATAGGACCTCAATCTTGTGGGTGGTTGATCCTTTCCATGTTGTTGTTTAATTTTTCTTGTTGATCCTTCGTTTCACATGTGGTAGCTTAATTTTCCCCCAGCAACTGCTTGTAATGTATTTGCTCTCTTCAAAACCCATTCTGTTTTTCGTTCTTCTAGGTCACCTTGGTAAAATGATTAAATTGAGTTTTTGAAATATATTGTCAGTCACCCTGAAAAGAACTGGCACACTTCTGGCTTTTATTTCACAATCAGATCTGGAAAGCTCAGTAGGTACATTGCAGTGACTTTGTGGGCTCTGGAAAAAAACCACTTTCTTCTTCAAGCGCTGGTCCCTATGTATTCCACCAGTGGTACCCAGGTTCTCCATGCACCTAAGACCAGAAGATTCTTGCTAGCTGTATCTGTTGGTCTGTACCTGCACCCTTGCTCTTCTTGTGGTCTGTGCCAAGTATGTAAGTGGCAGAGCAAACCAACTGCCTCTCTAGTTCCTTTGTACTTCCACATGGTCTGAGCTGATCCTTTGTCTTCAATCTGTAAATATTAAAGATTTGTTCTGCTGTTAGTGTTAGTTTATTTAGTTAAAAGCCTCCTCCCCCTAGGGGAACCTGCCCTGCCTCCCCGGTACAGGTTGTGGATTATGCCCAAGTTACTGGGCTTTAAAAACTGCATCTCCTGACCTCACTACTTTTTGGACAGAGACAACCACCAATGGTGCCTTTACTGCCTAGGAGATGCCCATGTTTCTGCAAAGTGCAGTATTTGCCCCTGCTTTCCCAGCCAAACTTGGCAAGTGCAGGAACTCTGGCTTAGTAAACCTCTTATGGAGAATGCAATGAGTCCTCAGTCAGACCCTAGCTAGGGGGTCCCCCCGGTAGTTCAGGAACAAACCTTCTAGCACCACATTGTCCGACTCAGGAACAGGGAAGAATAAGGCTAAGGACCCTTCTCTTTGATCTTTCCATGAGAGCAGGTGACACTCTGGAGAGCAGGAGATAAGGAAAAGAGCAGATCCCCCAACTAAGTCCACCTCTAAGAGGATGGTTTCCCTCCCCAACTCCAAAGTTGGATGCGTCTTTTTGTTTACATCCCAAAGATTTAGTCTGAGAGCCTCATTACCCTCCACAAAAGGCACAAAAGAGCAAGGGCACCTTGGTACCAGCTTCCACATAGACAATAGCACTGGCTCTTGTACCAGCCACACGTAAACACTGGGACTAAAAGCTGGGAGAACCACTGGTACCAGTCAAGGACAGTCAGTGGGATGGCCATGCATCATCACTGCAGAAGGAAACAGTGATCACTGAGAGCTCTGGCAGCACAAGGAGACAAGACTCTACATGTCCCAAGAGGGATAGAGACATATACTGCCTTGAAGGGATATTTTGTCCTTTCAGTCCTACAATCTCCCTTACTGATGGAATCAGTCCTTACCAGTGAAAGTCTGACTCCAACAGATGAGGCAGACTACGGGAAGAGAAGTTCATCCCCTATCCAATTCACCAGCTGTAGCATCCTGACTTCATTGCTAATGGAAATGGACCCAACTTTTTCCTCATCAAGAGGATTGGATGGGGCTGAAGGACGGACATCACCTCCACCAAGAGAGGTCAGCCCAGACAGGAGATTGAGAGTCTCCTAAACTCAGCCTCAACATCATATACTGGGACATCTTCCTCAGGACTTTTTGGGGACTTCTCTGGACTACCTTCAACCCCTCATACTGGCCCTATTAGGGTTCATGGGACCTGTATACATGGTACCTGGAGTCCATGAGGTTCTACTGGGAATCACATACCTCCCCCCTCCAAGAGATCAGCCAGAACATCCCCCAGAGCCTAGGAAGTGGAGGAGGAGTATGATGAACAGGTACTGACAGAGGTATTATCCTCATCTCCAGATGAGGCAGTTGCTCCAGCTTCACCAGATGACTGCAGACAATTTCAAGAGCGGCTAAGAACAGTGGCAGATGAAATCCAAATCTCTCTAGAAGAGGTTCAAAGGAGATATATCACAAGCTGAGGGATGTCTTATAAACAACAGAATCTAGTTGGGTAGTGCTTCTGGTGAATGAAGCCATCTTGGATCCTGCAAGAGCCATGTGGCATATGCCAGCAACCTGTGCACTTGCTCCCAAGAGGGCAGAGAAACAATACTTCATCCTCACTAAGGGAGCAGAGTTTTTATTTACTCATTCTGCCCTAATGTCATCTGTTGTTCAGGCAGCCACTGAAGAACCAGGCAACAGCACCCAAGGGCTACTCCTGTGGATAAAGGGGCCAAGCACTTGGAACTTCTAGGGAGGAAAGTATTCACATCCACCAGCCTCCAATTTTGAATATCCAACTACCAAGCAATTCTGGCCAAATATGATTTTATGAACTAGTCCAAGTTGTTGGACTTTTATAAAGATAAACTCCCTCAAGAAGATAGGGCTCAGCTTCAAGCCCTTATTGATGAAGGCAGATTGATAGCCAGAACCTTTTTACAGGCTGCTGTCATGCAGCTGACATGGCATTGAGATTAATGATGATGGCCACAGTTATGGGCTGTGAATCCTGGCTACGCTCTTTGCGGTTCCCAAGGAAGGTCCAAAATATGATAGAGGACATATGCCCTTTGATGAAACCAACCTCTTCAGTGAAAAAACATACAAGTCTTTACATTCACTCAAAGATTCCACGGCAACTCTCTGCTCCCTGGGTGTGTATATATCCCAACCCCAAAGGGGGGAATATCATAAGCACAAGCCATTGCCACAGCCCTTCTGTCACCAGCAGTCTCATGAGCTGCCTCAGAAGCAACAGAGGGTGCAATAATCTAGATTAACTGCTCCCACCATTTCATCCACATCCACTCAACCTCACTTCCCAGCCAATAGATACTTTTGACAGGATGATTGGGAGCTGCAAACCAGTATTGATGCCATCTCCACCTGACACTGATGTCCATTTTGGCATTTAGCTAATACAGTTTTCATACACTGGAGGATGACAACAGACAAGCGGGTGCTGGATACCATCCTTGCTGGCTATACCATTGGGTTCATCTACTTATCCTTCTTCAGGAACTACTCTCAGGAGGAGATCCTCCTGCAGAAAGTGGAATCTCCTCTCCGACAGACTATTAGAATGAGTATGACTGCAAAATCAGGGGAAAGGATTATATTCAAAATATTTCCTGATTCCCAAGGAAAATGGAGGATGGAGATCCATTCTTGACCTCCATCAGCTCTGTTTATTTGTAAATTGAGACTCTTCATGGTCACATTTAGCATCAGTAATTCTGTCCCTTGATAAAGACAGGTTGTTTCACAGCTCTCCACATGAAAGATGCGTACTTTCATGTGGATATCCACCCTTCTCACAGAAGGTTGCTCAGGTTTGTGGCTTAGTACAGAATTGTGCCATTCCCACTTGTAGTCGGTGCTGAAATGCCCGCTGAGGCTGTGCGCCAGTGAATTGTGAGTGCCAGGAGGTACACTGCCAACAGGCTAGCGTGCACTAGGATGCACCATTTCTACACTTATATGTCCCAAAATCCCAGAGTGTTTCTGGAGTGGGATATTTTATTTAATTCACCTGATACTACTGTGAGGTTCTTGCTTGGAATTTGGTAGAGAAGATGGAAAGAGAATTAAAATATTTATGTAGTTGGTTTCCTCATGGAAATAGGCAATGCTTAAAAAGGCTAGCATTACGCTGTAAATCAATGTGGTGCGCCTCAGCTGCTGACTGCACAACCATCAGCTGTACCAGAATTCTTAGTACAGTAGGACAGATAGATGTCATGCATCTATATCCAGGATTTACTGTGTTTAGTCCTCCATTATAATCCTTCTTTCCCTTCTCTCATTTTAAGAAAATCACAGCATTATAACCCCAAATCTTTTCTTGTCATTAACATACATGAATGATTTCTCATACTTTCAAGTATCAGGGGGTAGCCGTGTTAGTCTGTATCTACAAAAACAACAAGGAGTCTGGTGGCACCTTAAAGACTAACAGATTTATTTGGGCATAAGCTTTCGTGAGTTAAAACCTCACTTCTTCGGATGCAAGGGTTTTGCCCACGAAAGCTTATGCCCAAATAAATCTGTTAGTCTTTAAGGTGCCACCAGACTCCTTGTTGTTCTCATACTTTGTTTCTCCATGCCACTAATGTTAGGGGGCTCAGTTCTTTTCCAAAAATGAACTGATACACATCTGGTTA